ATTGCATCTGAATCTAATAAATACGACCAAAACGATAAATGTATTTGTAAGAAGTGCAAAATAGAACACGTATTGTACCAAGTTTAAAAACTAACTCTAAGATCAAATAATTAAAATACCTTCTTCTTATTATTATTATTATTATTATTATTATTATTATTATTATTATTATTATTATTATTATATTTGGCTATAAATAACTCTTATGCTTGCAGTTCACCTTTTCAAATTTCTTAAAAGAAGACACAATTTATAAGTTCGTTAATCTACATTTACCCATCAACAATGTAAATCATAATTCGATATGTCTAGCTATCGGAAACTTTAAAAGAACGAGATTATGTAAAATGTCTCAAAATACCAGACTACAAAACCATTAGGCCAATCGTGTTTCAATTTGATTATACCAAATTCGGTGTATAATGACTATCATACCCAATTACCCATGGTGACCAAACTCTCTTTGCTGTTTTGTTTTTTTTCTTCAATTCATTTTTTTTATATTTAAGTTTTTGGCGGTTATGTTTTGACTTTTTACAACCATATATATTTTTATATAAACGTAACTTCTTAATTTTTTAGATGTTGTCAATAACATCAAAATAAAATTTGGGCGATATCTTTATACTTTTTTTAAATGATTGGATTTGTGTATAATTCGAGTGTTTGTTGTCTATTATGACTAAAATCTAAGCAACGACTTGTACTTTGTGCAGTTTGGTGTTGTAAAGTTGGGTTGGTCAAAGGGTCAAAGTAGCTTTGGCGGGAAAAATGGGGAGGTTGGGTTTAACTGTAACCCATCTTTTCTAGCGAAGAGATCGACTCCCCCTTTGATCATGCCGGTAGAACCGCTCGTCACTTGAACCTTTCTCTTTTATTCCTAAACTACCCCTTATCCATCTCTTTTTTCATATTCCTTTTTTTTTTATTATTAATTTTAATTACAAATGTGGACCCTGCTCAAAACAAGTGGATTTGTCACTTAAATATAAAAATACAATTTTATAAATAGGGTTATATAAAAAGTTAACTAATTCCAATACAGTTTTGAGGTTTTATGTCATAGGTTAACTTTTATCTCGAAATAATTTTCAAATGAATCGTATTATTCTTTTGCTTAGGTGAAAATACACAACACGACACGATGCGATAAAATATGCGATATGATATAAAATTGAAACATGACTTTGTGTTCGTGTTCAAGATTCGGCATATCATGTTTCCGTTGTTTTAATGTTTATCGTATTCTGTAAGATTAGTTTTGAATTAAATAAAATGAATGGTTATTTTATTTTATATTTTCATGTTTTTTATATTTATTGTTTTTTATCGTGTCTTAGTTGAGTCGTTTTTATATCATGTCGTGTTAGCTAAAAAATACAATACAAGTGTACGATTTGTCACCCCTAGTTTTAAGGTGACTTTATAGCTAATTATTTTTGAAATTTTGGTTTTTCTTGAAATAATTTTTTTATAGATAAAAATAATGGTTGTTATGATTTTAAAATCCTAGAAACGGAAAACGACTCCAATCATACTATGATTTATCTTAAATTAGGATCTTAAAATCCTGACTAAAATCTTAAAATCTTAACCAGATATGATCCTACCTCTTTAATGTATATATATATATATTATATTTGAGCCTCAAAACTCCGCTCATACAAGTTGGAATTTAACATCACATGTCGCATAATGCGAAAAGTTTTGTTGTGTATCACTCTTTCATCCATTCATCTAAAATTTGGGAGATTTTGATCCTATGTTTTTAGTTATATATGATCACGCTTATCTTGTTTCTTTTTTTTTTTTTTTTTTTTTTTTTTTTTTTTTTTTTTTGAACCGACAAATCTAATCTACTCCTAAGCTAACAACACCTATTCCACCTATGTCCACGACGGGACTTGAACCCTCGACCTCAAAGAAAGAGAGCACCACCTGATACCGCTGGGCTACAATCCCTTTGATGTTTTTTTTCTTCCTATTTTTTGTTGTTTGTAGCAATAATAATTATAGCTTATGCTTAATAAATTAAAATCAATTTCATCATTAATACCTTAATAAGTTATAATGAATAATCTATAAACAAGACATTGCCAATAAATTTGAAGAGTAGTTCATTTTGATATAATATTTCAATCTTGGTCATGACGTTACAAAAAAAATAAAATGATTATAGATAAAATTATGATCTTAAAAACCTTAAAGAACTATAATAGATTTGAATAAAAAATAAAAAATGATAAGTAAATAGTAAGTGATTACAATATATTTTTTTATAGTAATTGTCCAAAATTTTGAGAAAATGTTACATTGAATAAATATATATTATACAAAAGTTATAGTATAAATACCTATTATTTTCTTTAGGTACACGAGATTAATATTGCATTTGATGGTATATGTTATCAATTCATAATTATTGTATTTAAATTTCAGTTTTAGAAATTTTTTGTGAATATAGAAAATTAGATTTGATTGAAAGACTACATAGTGAAAAAAATATCAACTTAGAATTTTTACATTGAAATAGATAAATAACAAACCGTGCCACTAACTTATTAAATTATTATAATGAAATTAAAATATATACCAAATTTTTGTAGCTGTGTTCAAAGTTTTTTAAAAATTGTTAGAAATCAAGTAAAATAGTTATGGATCCTTATACAAAATGGAAGCCGTAATCCAACCTTCAAAAATCGCAACGAATGGTCCAATTATGAACTTTGCTGTCTCTCTCTTATATGTATACAGAGAGAGAGAGAGAAAGAGATTTGTGTCAGTTGGTTTTTTAAATTATTTTTTTTATAAATATAATTATTTAAAGAAGGGAAAAAGAAAAGGGCAAAAGTGTAAATAGAGCATGCACGTCTCCAAGCTGTAGTGGGCTGTGTAGCAAAA